AAGGTTAAGGTGTGACTTGATTTACATGATACATTCATCCCACTACTTCTCCCTCCTCTACATCTATCTCTTATATCACTTCACTGAAATGCTTACTTAAAGGGAAAGCACCTATTCATCTTGCCCTAAACTATTTTCAGGTACTATGTCCAGTACCACAACTAACTGCTTCACCTTAAATGTCTATTCTATAGCATTCTTATCAAAGAAAAGCTTTTGTTTATCTTACTCTTTTGAGTTGCTTTAGCCACTAACATCTACCCGTTTGCTAACCTTTACCTCAAGCTGGTTGCATATGCTAACACATTTTGTGATTTGGCTTTGTCTCTGGACCAACTTATTCTTAAGTCTAAAGGACCCTTATCACCTCTACCATATAGTAACTCAAAGGTTGAAAATCCTGGTATAGTTTGGGACACTTCTCGACATGCAAACAGCACAAAAAGCAATATCTCCCAGTCAGCAGGATTCTTCTGAACCTTGACCCTGGGCATGTTTTCTATTGTCCCATTTGCTCTCTCACACACCCCATTTGTTTGGGGTCTATAAGGACTAGTGTGCTTAATTTTTACCCTTGTCACCTTCCATATTCTTTGCATTATTTTTGATTTAAAATTGCAAGCTAAATCTGATAAGAATTCTTCAGAAAAGCTGACCCATGAGAATATCACTATTTCACATTATTTCTCTGTTCCCACAGAATCTAGTGCTACTGCTTCAAAATATCTACTGGCAGAATCAGCCACTGTTGGAATATATTTATAACCTTGCTCTGTTACTAAGTGGTTTGATAATATCGGCACTAATGGAACTAAAGGGTTCACTAATAACTGGCGAATTAACTATTGGGTTTTTTACTTTCATTCCTCTCATACCATTTAGCTGACATGCTGGATAGCTCTTTACATAAGTCCCTATATCTCCAAATATACCTGGCCAGTAGTATTTATTGATCCTATCTTTCATTTTAATGCACAGCCAACACTGCATCATGCCCTAACTGTAATACTGTCTGTCTACATTCCTTTGGGAGTACTATTTGATCTGTAATTTATATTGCATCATTCCCATTACATTTATGAGTCAACATTTCTTCCTACCAGTAATAATAATTTCACCCGAGTTTAGCTCGTTTCAGTTTCTCTACCAGGGTGTCACTGTAGCATTTATACAAATTCTCACATTGTAGCTGCCATTTAACTACTTGTTATCAATTCTAACAGCAATTAAAAATTTGTCATTATTTGCTTGATGATCTAACTCTTGAGTAATGTCTACCCCTGTTTCAGAGTTATCTCTCATATCATTTGTTATCTGGTTTCTTTAGCTACATGTTACCACTGTTACCGATATATTTTGTAACCCGACAGCTTCTACCTCATAACCAAGCAAAACCAGATATGGGATACCAACTGCCACCCTTAAAACTTTTTTCACCTTCAAAAGCTTGACATTTCAATGTAACTTTAGCTAGTAGCACATTATATTGCACCTTCCTCCGTGCTGTGGTGTTAAACCCATTGTAATCTAATGTACCATCTGTAAGTTTATTATTTTTTCACTAACTCTTTTTCTTAGTTTTCCAATTACCAGTATACTATAATCAATAACACATAGATTTAGAAATAGGTTTTACTTAGTGGCAGCAAATTACTTTATTCCTTCATCTCTATCATTTTATTCATTTTCTCACACAGCTCCCATTATTCTTCTTCTTCTCTCTTTTCATTGAATTCCTGTCTTTTATATTCTTTTCTCAAATCCACGCTGGAACCGGCTCCTTTCTTTCTGACCTTGTGTCTATTTCTTGTATATGGTTTATAACGTTTCATAGTTATAAATAGTTTTGTAGTCTCCAATCCGGTTGAAATTAAAAGTGGTTGTTGTTAAGTGCAAAGCTACGCAATGGTCTATCTGTTCATCATTGGTATCGACTGAACGTAAAAAGTAGGCCGCTCATTTCAATCATCTTCTTATGATTTAAGAATAGTGTAAATTCCTAATTTCTTAGATAATGACCAAAGGCAGGTCACTTTTTCACCTCTCTAAACTTCAACCGATGTTTCTTACACCTTACTTCATAACACCTTATATACCCTGACGATCTGTAACACTTCTATCAATGATTTTGCCATCCAGTGGAGCGAAAAGGGTTGGTAACCACTAACTATGACATATGATACAATTGAGTAAACATTAAGTACATGTTTCTGTGTTCAGTGTTATCACCTATGTTCGTTCCTATACATATTCAAATACACACACACATACATACAAACGAATTATTCACACGTTTTCATACACCTATACAAACTGACAACTGTGTGGGTTGAATGGCTCTTAAAATTTCGAAGAGTTAAACAGTAAAAAATTATGGCATTTGCTTGTAAGTTCAGCCAGTAATCGCGTGTTAACCAATCCTACAGATCGAATCTCCTATCAAAAAATACAAATACAACGTGCATTTTAAAACGTTGAATATATCTACAGTAGTTCGCTAACTCTTAGTTAGTCGGAACTGTAAAACAACCTTATATCGGGTGATGGGGGGTACTATCAGAGAACGAGAAAGTGGTGGAAGTTTTTAATTATCATCATTTTTTAATGTTAGCTTTGTGTTTTCTTCATAGGGGTACGTTAATGTGTACTTTCAGTGTTTCAATATAACTGAATACCAGCGTACTTTACTGCGAACACGTTTCATTGGTGAATGAACGTTCAATGCATGTACTGGACAACAGTTTTTGCGGATCGATAATTTGCTGTGGAACCACCCTTTTATTATCCTCGGGCTGTACGCTGTTAGTGGTGTCTATCGCATACGGCACTAACATAATAAAACAGATACTATGTTTGCAACATCAGCAGAAACACATGTCCTAGCCTTTTCGAAAACAACAGCTCTTTCAAACTCAACAACGCGTTTATGATTAAAAAAAAGAAGTTAAAATACACACACACACATGTATATATAGATATCTATATGTAACATACAATTAATTGAACATCTTAACTGAAACGGTTCCCGCATGTTTTGCAATTTACTGTCATCTGGTGACGAAATATCTATACTAATCTTATAAATCTAGTTTACATTTTTCTTCTTAGGTTTCTACTTTTATCAGTATATAAACACTGTCAAACTGAAAGACACACACTACTTCTTTAAACGTTGATTTGATAAATACTTCATTCTATTAAAGGCGAGCTATAAATCAGCTTTATCGTTACCGTCTATAAGATAGTGATCCCACAATGGAGAAGAATATGGAAAATATTATTTTACAAATACGCGTTTCTTCAATATTAAAAACAAAAAAAAGTTATAGAATCTGATTTAGCTGTCCTGCTCATCAAAGCATCTTTAAACTGATTCATATTTGCTTGATCAGCACAAATAATACGGAACAAATTCTTCCCTGATGGTTGAGTTAACGACCCACGTTTACATCCATAACTTTTTTTTTTTTTGCATTTGCAAGTATTACAGTGAAGTAACTTCGCTGTAATACTTCAAAATCCGCTGCTGCCCATTGAAGAAAAAAACACCAACAATAAAAACTATTAAGTCGAATTATAAAAAACAAATGCATTGAAAAAAAGAGTGAAAAATTAACGAAAAACGAAACACCTTTAGATGTTAAAACACAGTAGAAATTACGAAACAACGGAACCCGTTGGGAATATGGTGGTGGTTATTCAGAAATTAGCCAATATCGGACTATGGTTCTACTCAAGCGATGATTTATAAGATGTAATTGTATTTTATTACCAAGTGTGACTTTTGAAACACAGTTTTCAGAAATATACCTTAAATCCCATCGTAACAGATCAGACCAGCTGTTCTACTAGCAATATGACTAAGATCCTTATTTGACAATACTTCAGACGTACACTTTTCGCCTAATCTATTGGTCCGTAGTTGGCACACAACCTAAATAGCAATAACTGGATCCAGACTTTTTACTCTTACCCCCCAATAACACAGTGGTATAAAAACTGCCTAAAATCTCGGTTGAATTAGTCTAATTTGTGGTAATATCTTAGTTTCCCACAATTCAAAGACAACTTTTGACCTTCCAAGAAAGAAGACGTTAGAGGGTAGTTGCAATTCGTGAATATTGCCACCAGTTGATACAATCCAGGGTAAACTTTTAAAAAAAAATATTTAAATGTTCCTACTTACTTATTGTTTGTTTGTTGTTAAGTACAAAATTATATAATGGGCTGTCTGTGCTGTGCCAACCGCAAGTATCGAAATTCGATTCTTAGTGATACAAGCCCTCAGACTTACCGCTGAGCCTTTGGAATGCCTTTAACTATTAACAATATGGCTATCCCTAGATAATGAATTTGTAAGATATCTATACAATAAGATTCAGTGTCTGTGTGTCACGTAACTCCTCCTAAACTACTGGTCGCACCGACTTCTAAATGGTACCAAACGAATGGTCTTGGTAACAAGGTTTGCACAAAGGTAAAACATTTTTCACCCAATCCTTTACGAAACCTGGATATTTTGCGAAAACATTTTTACAGGGCTTCCCAGAAAGCGGACCCCAAAATTGGCATTGATTTACATTAGAGCACATAAATAAATAGGCCTACTAATTACTGTTTGTAACTTAGCTAAAGAAATTAAATTTATATTATTGCAGCAATGATAACTAAACTGAAAAAAATGCAAAACAGTAGCTCAATCATTAAATTTGCATTGTATCGGCTCTGTAAATGTGGGTCATAGGACCATGGGTTCGCTAATACGCAAGTATTATTACAGCCCTCTTGCTAGGCATATAAATCAATACTTATATTAAAATTTAAATAGATTTCCTTACAAACAAGCCACAAAGACGAAGTATCATATTAAATACTGCTATATAATAAGCCTTCAGTATAAAATTTTAAATCTTTAAGGTGCTGTTGTGTTGTTGAGGTTCAGCTATCCGGAAATCTCTCATAACTAACCAAATATAATTGGCAATAGTAACAACTTTTACCTCAGTAACGTCCATTATTTTGATCGCTGCTAACTGTCCGGTTTTTGTGTGGCGACCCTAAAAAATAGAAAACGAAAAAATAAGATTAAAAGAATGGTTAAAGTTCAATCATCATTTAAACCAACACTGCGCAATATGTTTACGTTTTCTTTGCATATTTCTGCAGGCAACAAATATAACTATAATATCTTCTCTTTGTTCACCACAACCACCACCTGGCCACGCCAAGCCCTGACGAACAGATCCAAGGTAATATTATAATTAGTCAGAAAGTTATTCTCACCTGTTTGTCGTCACAACCATTAGATCCACCGATTATTTTAAATATTCAACTGATGACCAATAAAGACTACCTTTTAAACTGGATACACACACACACACACACACACACAGTGACATTATACGGGTTCACAAAAATCAATGAAACATAAAACTGAAATGAACGTCGCTAATAACAAGCATTCTTGAAAAATTAAATTTTCCATTAAAACGTACGAAAAATTAGTTATTAAGGAATAAAAATTGCCATCAATAATTTATTGGCAAGTATAAAATACAGGAACAAAGTGTTAAACCTAGGAGCTTTAGAAGACTCTTCATTAAAAACCAAAACGAATTTGATATTAGCTGTTATTGATCATAAGTTTTATCAAAGTAAAAAAAATAAAACAAAAACATCCTATAGCATCATACTTTTTACTTGAATAAAAATTAATGAAAAAATACAATTCTATTTTAATAAGACATTTTTGCTAAAATGAATAATGTTAATTTTTATTTCCCAAGGTGAAATCAATAAAACCAGTTTGGCACACATACATAGCATCAATGTAAAACTTTTGTTACTTATTCTTAAAATATTCAAACGGCGTATCATTTCGGAAAAAAACATGGAGTCTATACTTGACTAAACCTCAAGCCAATTAAACTTCTTGATTATTACATAGATAAAATGACCACAAATTTTTTTACAACCACGGCTACATCATTTTCTGGCGACATTAATGCGATACTGTTGTGTATTCGCATTTTAGATGTCATGACGCCTTTTATGACTGCATATCTGTAGCGAGACGGATTCGTCGCATTGTTAATCTCGTGGCAAGGAATTTAGATGAGAAATCATCAGCGGTGCTCCCCCCCTCTTCACCCCACACATATAACTGGACAAGATTTTTTTCCCCCTCTTAGGCGACAAGTAAAAGTAAACAACTAATTTCTTTACACTACCTACTGAGAGTATAGAATTTCATAAGATCTAATAATAAAGATGAACTTAAAGTTATAAAATACGACGAGTAGAAAAAGAAATATCATGAACAGAACATAAACTGTACAGTAAACCAGTACAAAAAGCAGCACTAGGCTCGAGTGAAGAAATGGAATAGTTTTCCCAGTAGTGATTAGTAAGGTGCTGATGACGAAAATGGTCAAGTAAAACTGGACTAAGAAACATCTGAGAATAACATATATAAAAAGGAATATTGTCAATACAACAACAACAAAAAAAACAACAAAAATTATTAGAGTAAAATCCTACTATGGTCAGTTCCTTATCTCTAAGGTGTGGAAATGACGCGGTGACCAAACAGGCGACAATTTTAGATGGTAAAGGATCAGAAAACTAGAAATATGAAGAATACTATATTGAATAAAAAACAAAAACTACTTTTTTTGGCACATTGAAAGGTAACGTCTTTATCGTTAGTTACAGTCGACCAATTACCGTCATCAGGGCTAGTATCTATAGTGTAGATAACCGTGTTACTAAGGCTAATCGGCTGTAACTGATAGTAAAGATTTTACCTTTCACTGTGCCAAAAAACGTTCTTGTGTTTTTTACTCTTAATATAGTAGCATAGTGTGCTTGAAAAGAAGAATACTTTGTGTCTATATAATCTGATCCGTCTGAATTCACAACAGTTAGTTGTGTTGCTTCTGCCAGCTGAATGATGACAATTTTGTACGCACCTGTCCGACGTGGTAACGAATGATAGGACAAAAGTACAAAAATATAATTCCTTGTACTAACAACAAAGCATAGACGAAGAATTAAGTTGTGATTTTAGTAATACTTACACTTTTGTGATATGTAACGATCTGCATTAATTATCCCTCC